AAAAAAAAAAAAAAAAAAAAAAAAAAACTTCTCAAGTAAAAAAGAAAAAGGGCAAGAGATATAGCTCAGTGGCATAAGCACCTGCCTGGCAAGTGCAAGGTCCTGAGTTTAATTCCTGGTACCAAAAAAAAAAAAAAAGAAGAAAGAGAAAGAAAGAAAGAAAAGAAAAGAAAAGAAAAGAAAAGAAAAAGAAAGAAAAAGAAAGAAAGAAAGAGATATGATGTACTGGTGCACACCTGTAATCTCAGCACTTGGGAGGATGAAGCAGGAGGACTGCTGTGAGTTCGAGGCCAGTCTGAACTACATGGTGAGACTCTGTCTCAAAGAACCAAAACATTAAAAAAAGGAAAAAACAGCGACACTTCTCTACTACAACTTTGTTCCTCTATATTATAAATATACATGAGGAATACAAGCTTTTAGGTAGATGTGGTATAACACATCCATTCAAGGGGCTAAAGCAGGAGGATTGCTGTGAGTTTGAGGCCTGTGACCCTGTCTCAAAAACACAAAAAAGATTGCCAGTACTCAGGAGACTGAGGCAGGAGGATTGCTGTGAGTTTGAGGTTAAACTGGGCTACAAAGTGAGTTCAAAGCCAGTCTAAACTGCATAGAGAAACCTTGTCTCAAAAAGACAAAAGAGGCAGGGCATTAGCTCAGTGGTGCAGCACCTGCCTGGCAAGCAGGAGACCCTGAATTCGATTCTGGGCCCCACCAAAAAGACAAAAATAAAATATATACATGAGCTTTTAGAAGTATGCGTAAGTTCTTTCTTCTGCATGTAATTTATTGTGGAGTATAACAAACCTCAGTAACTTTCTTCCAAATGATTTGCCAACAGTTGTAGTTTTTGTTCTTTAAGAAAGTGAAAATATAACCTATGAAAGAAAATACTCACGAATCATTCAGAGGAGAGTTAGGTATCCAGGTTACATGAAGAACTCTGAACAGCATCAACCACTGAGAAGCACCCTGAGAGCAGGCAAAGAACTTGAACAACACTTCTCCACGTGAGCACAGGCACCCTGAGAACCACTACTCAGGACAGAGACCCAGGTCACAGCCAAGGGGACAGCACCGCTCACACGTGGGCATGGCTGCCACCAGCAAGCCTAGAAAAAAGCAAGGCCTGGCCGGGACTCGGAGGACTGAAGGCCCACGAGCCGCCTGTGGGCAGGCTGAACAGGGGCTGCTTGGGAAAGAAGTGTGGGCAGCAGCTCACTAGAAAATCACTACTGGGAGCCATTGATTCTGCTTCTGGGTAGGTATGCAGATAACTGGAAACAGGGACTGAAAGAAATAATGTGTTCAACTCATTCACAGCAGCTAAACCACTGGCCCACCTCACTGTCCCTTGGCAGATGGGTTGGGGAACATGGTCATTTCTTACAGTGGAATAGTATGCAGCCTTAAAAAGGAACGAGGTCCCCACCCGCACCACAGCAGAGGGAGCAGGGGAAATTATACTAAGTGACAGGGCCAGATCCTACAGGAGTTCACTTATCTGAGGTCCTGAGAGCAGTGAGGTTCATATCAGAGGAAGGAGAATGATGGTGTGGGTGTCAGGCTGGAGAGTTCCAAGTTTGGGATTTCTGGGGTTTTCGTGTAAAGTTTTTTGGTATTGTTTTACTTGTTTCCCACACTGGGGATCAAACCCAGGACCGCATGCATGCTAGACCAGAGCTCTGTGCTGAGCCGAATTCCTGCCTGTAGGGAGCTTCTTATAGGTACAGGTTCAGTTCTGCCACATGAGAAGTTAGAGAACTAGATGGTGGAGGTGGTTGTACAACATTATGAATGTATTTAACACCATTTAAAAATGGTCAAGATGGTAAATTTTGTATGTAATCCCAGTGCTCTGGAAGGCTGAGGCAGGAAGATTCCAATTCTGAGGCTGGCACTGCAACTTAGTGACTTAGAAAAACCCAGGCTCGAAACAAAAAAATAAAAAGGGCTGGAAATGTAGTTCAATGTGAAGGCCCTGGGTTCAATTCTCAGTAATGCAAAAAAAGAAAAAGTAACTCATTCTTTCGCTGTGGGCTTGAAATTCCGCACCAATATATCACATTCTGGGACAGATGACTGTGTGTGTCACTCAGGATTGAACCCAGGGCTGTGTGCATGCTGGGCCTCTGCAGCTTCAAAGCCGTAGATGGCAGTGGGTGAGCAAGGCACAGTAGGTGTGCAAGGCAGAGCGAAGCTGCTTCCAACACAGCTGGGAGAAATGGGAAAGCAAGGGAGGGGCCGAGGGTCCCACACTCCCCAGCCTGGCCTCCGTGACCTGTAACACGCCCACCTCACCTGGAAGTCCTGCTCCTGGGTCGGCGCGGTGGTGCAGGCCTGTAATCCCAGTACTCAGAAGTCTGAAGCCAGCCTGGGCTACATAGTAAGATGCTCTCTCTCAAAAAAAATTTCCAAAAGTCCCACCCAAATGCCCACAGGGGCCACATCACCAGAGGGAGCCAGGGCACCCTCACCCACACCTCAGCTGGTTTCAGCTCGGGGTCTGCCTCAGTGACCTGCACCTGCCGCTGGCGGCTCGTGGGCACAGGTGGTTGCCCATCACGGCCACTGCCGTGCTCCTGTACTGAAGAGGACACAGGACACAGCACTTCTGCCACCATCGGCACGTGCCCTCCCCGGGAGTTTGCGTCGCAGTTCCACACGCACAGCTGTAGGACACATTTGTTACGGTGGATTTGTACAAGGGTTTAGGTAACTCAGAGCAGTTATCTTTCTGCCGCTATTACACCATCTTAATTCCTTTGCAGTGATAAAGCTCGGTGTTCCAACATCTGACACAGCAAGTCTCTCCTACTCCCACCTCTTTCAGATGAACTGCAGCCCATTTTATCAATTTCAAACATGACTCTTCACATTCCGCCCAGGGCACTGTTGAAATTACAGACTAGTGCAGACGTGACGGGTGCTGCGATTTGCCTGGATCTTCCTACTCTGAAGTATGGTGCGTATCTCCTTTTATTCTGATCTCTGTGTCACTTGGGAAACTTTACGATTTATTCACATAGCTCTTACATGCTTAAGATGTTTACCCAAACGTCTTACACCTACAGCTGATGTATGCGTGAGGGTTTTTAAAGAGATCATTTCTCCCTGGCTATTGCAAATGAAATAGGAATCGTGCTGATTTTCGTTATTATTCTCGCAATCAGCAGCACTACTTAAACCCACCTAGCATTCTAGTAGTTTTTTCCTTTGTTCACTGCTACAATTTTCCGGGAGACCATTCGGACATCCCGCATTACAGACGTGTCTGTCCCGTTTCTCAATGTTTACTTAAATCTCTCTTTCAAAGAAATTCACTAGTCAAACACTCAGGTTCAAGGCTACCCGTCTTCCACCCGTATTTCACGATGAGATGAACCTTATTCATGGAGGTTTCTAGCAAGTGACCTCCGATCCCTTCAGAAGTTTCTTCCCTTGTTAATGTCAGAAGTGGAGAGTCCAAGGGAGAAGGGGCCCAGCTTGGCACTAAGCAGCAGTTACTGCGGGTCAAGGGTCCTGCGAGCCCCTGCAGAGGCGGGTGAGTACAGACGAGGATCGCGTTCTGTGCGCTCGGGGAAGCAGTCCTGAGGGTCCCCTTCGGGGGAAGTGATGGTGTGTGTTCCAGGAGACAGGTGGCTTCAACCTGACCTGAACGCTGCGGTGTGGACAGGTCTCGGAACGTGGCGTGGTTCACCATGAAGGTGTTGGATGTTTTATGGTTCTACGTATCCGTGAAAAACAAACTTTCTTCTGATCCACTCTTGCTAAGCTGTTACCATTTATCACATAGTTTTTGGATTTCAGTCATGAATACTAAATGCATTTCTTAATACACTGAAATAACATAAATGATTTATTACATGACAGGAGCTACATTCTTGCATTTCCGTAATGCAACTGGTTTACCTGGACATGCAGTAACACATCATCGGGATGAACTAGTCAATGTCTCACTTAGGGGTCTCATATCTATCTACAAGTTCAATAGCCCTGCGTGGTGGTACATAGCTATAATCTTGGGCTGAGGCAGGAGGATCGCCCTGAGTTCAAGGCCAGCCTGAACTACACAATGAGACCTTATCTCAAAGAAAAAAATAAATAAAAATAAAGCCAAGCGCTGTTGATTTATAATACACACCTGCGCCCTGTGCTGGCCTCATCCTGTTTGGTGTCCTGGTGTGATTATCTTTACAGAAGATGAGTTCATCTACTCTAGCATGGTTTTGCAACAGAGGAACCTGCTTCTTGAAGATGTGGTTAGACTCAGCTGCGGGCCAGCTCCGCCGCGCCTGCGGCTCTCCCTGCAGTACCAATCTGCTGCACTCGCGTTTCCCACGGCTCTGGCTTCAGCCCCTCCGCTTTGCCAGCACGGTTCCATTTTGTCACCTGTGCCTGTATTTGTGTATTATCCTCAGCTATGCTTTTTTCTTCATCTCTAAAGGTTCTGTAACTGTATATTTTCTTTTTTTCTTGAAATTCACAAAAGGTTTCATTTGCTGTCTGTTCTCACTGGTTTTCTACGGTGCTGGGGACAGAACCCAGGGCCTCAGGAGGCCAGGCGAGGGCTCTGCCCCCCTGCCACACCCAGCTCAGGTTCCTTCCTTAGAACAATCTGCGGTTTTATTTTTAGGTTTCTTGGGTTACTTTCATTTTCATTTATAAAAATAAAAGCAGACATCAACATTTTCTTTCAGGGAGGACTGGGGAGTTCGCTGGTGAAAGGACACAGACTTTCAGTAAAATGGAAAAAATGATGGAAAATTTCTACTTGGGGCTTGTTCGTTTGTTTTTTGAGACACAGTCTTGCTATGTAGTCTAAGTTGGGCTTGAACTCACTATGTAGCCCAGGCGGGCCTCAACTTCACAGCAATCCTCCTGCCTCAGCCTCCTGAGTACTGGGATTACAGGCGTGTACCACCATGCTCAGCTTTTCTACTTTGGGTATTTTAGTTGTTCTTCAGCTCACATGTTCCTAACTTTCTAATAAGTGCATCTTCTTCTCAGTACTTCACAGCCTCCCTCACCAGCAGAGTCCTGGGGTCAGGCCCCACCTTTCCTTCCTGGTCACTCTGCTGAGCGCAGCTCCTCTCCCACACAGCTGGCTCAAGTAGACTTAACTGAGCTTTCCGGTTCATCAATGACCAAGGGGGGCAGCGCTGGGGCTGTGCTCAGTGGTGAGCGCTTGCCTGGCATGAAGGTGCCACTAAGCTCCATCCCCAATACCACAAAACTAAAAAATAACCCGAGTTGGTGCTACACACCTAGAATCTCTAGGCTCAGGAGGCTGAGGCAGGAGGATCACTGTGAGTTCTGGGCCAGCCTGCCCTACACAGCAAGATCCTATCAAAAATAAGTAAGAATTAGGAACAAGCAAAACAGCTTCCAAAATCCTGCCTCCCTGCCTGCCCCTCTTGCCTAGGGGCGCCATGGCAACCTGAAGTCTTACTCTGCTTCCCTCTGGGCCAACACCAACTCCATGAACCCTGGGCAAGACCTCGCTTTCGGCACAGCCCCGGCTTCCGGCGGCTCCCTGCGCATGCGCCACTTCAACATTGTCCAGAGCATTACTCAGGCCCTGCCCTGACGAGTACGCTGCCGCCAGCCCTGCTTTCCATTCCCTTTTCTTTTGCTCCTGTGCACTGAGCTATGATTTTTTATTTCTGTTTTTGTTTTCTCAAGCCCCTCCTGTCACGCAGGGACCCTCGTGACCCTGCGTACTGCGCCTTCCTGGGTGCGAGCTTGGCGACAGCGCGGAAGACACCCCGACCTCAGGCGGACACAGGAGGGACCCCTGTCGCTCGCAAGGAACCTAGGGTTGCGGCCAGTGGACGACAGCCACCAATGGTGGAAGGACTTGATTCCGTTTTTCTGCGGACGACAGCTCGGACAGCGCCAATTCAGAAGCACGTGACATACACGACATACAGAAACCTTCCAGAAAGCAGGAGGCCCATGTCTGCGGCCTTTTGCAATGGGCTCTGACGGGAAGGAAGACGCACACGGGTCCGAATCAGCCAACTGGAACTAGGACGCCTGCAGAGGACTCAGTGTTGGTGTCACTCCCTCCAGCTCCTGAGGACTTGCTACACAGATTCACCCCCGTGGGGGAGCCAGAGTAGGTGCTGAAAAAAAAAAAACTACAGAGCAGCTCCGGAGCGCAGGAAAAAGGAAAACAAAAGAAAGAAACTTCACTTATTTCAGGTCTTACTGATAAAAAATCCTGAGACTAATAGCCAGGCTTGGTGGCGCCTGCCTATAATCCCAGTACTCAGGAGGCTGAGGCAGGAGGATCGCCACAAGTTTGAGGCCAGCCTGGGCTAAACAGTGAGTTCAAGGCCAGCGTGGACTACATCGCCAAGACCCTGTCTCAAAAGAAATAAAACAGAAACAAAAACAAAGCAAAGTACTGAGAGTACACCAGAAAGCACATGCTAGATCAATGTTTAAGGGCCCAATGCGAGCTTAGAGAACCACTGCTTAACTGACACGGAATTGTTAAACTTAAAGATTTCCTATAAAAACTCAGGTTTCTTGTTTGTCTTCAGCAATCACAAAATCTGACAAATGCAGTTCCACATTCCCATGGAAAAGCAGTACTCTGCATGCTGGCAAATTTTAACACCTGGGTCTCTGCAGGCAAAAGAAACACCCAAAAGCCCAGGCCTGCAGCACCAGCCAGGGCAGGTGCTCCAGCCCGGGCTGGGCGCAAAGGGGCACCCACAGCCGTCCTCAGCGGCGAGAAGGAATCAGCCACAGCACACTGTGATTCTCTCCAGAAGAAAACCAGGGCCCTCTGTCCCTTCCCCCCAGGGACTCCTGGTCAAGGTGAACGCCTACAATCCCAGCACTCTGGGAGGCTGAGGCAGGAGGACCAAAAGTCCAAGCCAAGCCTGGGAAACTTAACAAGATCCTGTCTCAAAATATAAATTTTTAAAAAGGTCTGGGGCTGTGGCTCAGTGTAAAGGCAGTGTGTTCAATCTCCAATACTGGAAAAAAAAGGCCTTGGGAGCACCACCCTAACCAGAGCACATGTAAACAGTCAGGTGCGTACTGGGGGGTTCTGAGATACCAGGGAGAGGGGACCCTCACTTGGCCACCACGGAACTGCACAGGGAGCTCCACTGCACAGGGAGCTGCAGTCTGACCGGGGAGCAACTCGCGAACCACAGAGAGAAGGGAGGAGCACCAGGGAGCTGAGTCTTAAATGCAAAAGGAAGGAAGAAAAAAAGAAATACTTCATTCAAGGATTCCTGACTCTAATTTCTTAATTTGAATTGCAAATGACATTAAAATAGTTCATAACATGCTTATATGTATCGAAGGAAAACAGGATTTCTAGAAGATTGAGAAGCACCACCCCTCGGGTGTGGAAAGAGCACCCCACAGAAGCATCATTTTCAACATCCATTATGCTAATCAACAAGCCATTGTCCTTTCGTAGGGGCGATCCCCTTCCTAACACTTACTATGCTAATTTGATCTGATATGAAACTATCAAAGCAGCAGAGACCTGCCATCACTGTCTCCGCAGGACGCCAGAGGGCCACCGTGGGAAGCCAGCTCAGATTACAAGGGCAGCCCACATTGAGAATGGTTTAAATGAGCACATAATACACACATGCTTTAATGGAGATTTTTAAAGCAGAGAGATTATTGGGAAATGGTATTGCTGATGTCATTTTGTAAAAAAAGGGAAACAACCCAAAGCACAAAATGGATTATTAGTGTCCATAACTTTTGTTTGGTTTTTTTGTTTCTTGAGACAGGGTCTTGCTGTGTAGCCCAGGCTGGCCTCGAACATGCCTCAGCCTCCTGAGTGCTGGGATTACAGAGATGTGTCACCATGTCCAGCTTTAAGAGTCTACAACCTTTAAAAAGCACAGTAAATTCAGTGCTTATCTTAAAAAGAAAAAGGAGGTAGCCGGGCATGGTGGCGCACGCCTGTAATCCCAGCACTCAGGAGGCTGAGGTAGGAGGATCGTTGAGAGTTTGAGACCAGCCTGAGCTACAAAGTGAGCTCAAGGCCAGCCTGAACTGCATAGCAAGACCCTGCCTCAAAAAGACACAAAAGAAAAAGAAAAAGAAAAAGAAAAAGAAAAAGAAAAAGAAAAAGAAAAAGAAAAAGAAAAAGAGAAAGAAAAAGAAAAAGGAGGCTATCTGGACATGGTGGTGCAACCCCATAATCCCATTACTCAGGAGGCTGAGGCAGGAGGATCACAGTGAGTTCAAAGCCATCCTGAGCTACATAGTGAGTTTAAAGCCAGCCTGAACTACACAGGGAGACCCTGTCTCAAAAAAACAAAATAAAATAAAAATAAATAAAAATAAAAAAAGAACAAAGAAACAAAGGGGGCTCACACGGGTGCCAGGGTATGGCTCAGAGACCTTGGCCTCACATGCACAAGGCCCTAAGTTGATCTCTCTGCAGGCTTCCGGCTGCGGGGAGGGGATAGGGACGTGGTCTGCAGGAGACAGCGCCCCAGGACCTTGGACTTCCTGCCCTAAGGCTCTGAGCACAGAGTCTGCAAGGAGGGGAAACACTCCGCTCTTACCGTCACCTGGAACTCAGCGCCCCCACGCCACCCGACTCCATTCCTCTCTGCTCCAGCCCAGCCTGCCTCGAAGGCTTTTGTTGCAAGACTCAAGGAGAGGGGCTGGGGATTTAGCTCAGCGGCAAAAGCGCCTGCCTGGCAAGCGCAAGGTCGTGAGTTCGGTTCCCGGTACCGGAGAAAAACCAAAAAAAA